GGCTTGATGTGATAAGCCAGTGGAAAGCATGGGCAGCTGAACTAGAACCCGCCGAGGCTGAGCTGCACAAATCTTTGGCCCCTTCCGTTGCCGAAGTGGTCAAAGGAAAGCGACTACTCCTCCTTGATCGCATAGCCAAATCCCTGCAATGGCCCGACACCCGCTTGCATCAGGATATGACCAGTGGTTTCAAGATCGTTGGGGAGGAGCTCCCAAGCGGGATCTCTTGAGCCTAGGCCTGCGACCCTCACGCCTGAGGAGTTGCTGGCTCAGTCTCGATCCACTAAGCCCTTGATTTGGGAACAGATCAATGATGCTCCTCTGGATGTGAACTCTCGCGACTCTTTGAAATCACTGAGGCTGAATACCGCGAGAAGGGATGGCTAGAGCAACCACGCACTTGGAAAGAGCTGGAGCTCCTGTTTGGCGATTGGCTACCAGCCAAAAGGTTTGGTGTACGCCAACGTGACAAGCTTCGTCCCATTGACGACTTGGCAGCCAACGGTGCCAACAGTGCCTTTGCCGCTTGTGACAAGCTCACCTTACGTGCTTTCGATGAGCTGATTTGGTGTGCCACTTTCATCATGCGAGCACTTGTGCAAAAAGGTACCGTTCACCTTGTCTTGTCCTGTGGTCGAGTGATCTCGGGACCTCTCCACGACTTTTGGAGGATCAAAACCGACCGTGCCCGCCCCTTGTTGAAAACAATTGACTTGAAGGCAGCGTATAAACAGCTGCCGCTTCATCCGGAGCATCGCAGGTTTTGTGTGGTCGCCTTGAAACACCCAGACGACAGCCAAGTGCGCGGCTACGTATCGAGAGTATTACCTTTCGGTGCAGCAGGGAGCGTCACTTGCTTCAATAGGGTTGCACGCTTGATCCAACGGATTTTTCAGGAAGCCTGGATCTTATACTGTAACCATTTTGATGATTTTCCGGTGTTGGAGTTATCCGCCCTGACGGGGAGCACTGACTCGACTGCCCACTGCGTACTTGACCTCTTCGGCTTCGAGTGTTCTGCCGAGAAGGAGGAACCTTTCGGAACCAGAGCCAACGTTTTGGGAGTCACGGTCGATCTCTCCTGTGCAGACTTGTCCGAGGTTCGTGTGTGCAACCGGGAGGTCAAGTGTAGCGAGGTGGCCGCTTCGGTTGATGATGTTCTGGATCGGGGCTTCATTAGGGCTGCTGAAATTGCTTCTCTTTTCGGGAGGATCCAGTTTCTTGAAGGGCAACTCTTGGGAAGGATGGGGCGATTGGCTCTGTCCGAGCTTCGCTCCCTTGGGACTTCGGGTGGCATCCTCAAGCTCGGGGACTCCGAACGTCATGCTTTCCAGAATCTTCGTGAGCGTTTGCTTCATGGACCGCCCCGGGCGATTTCAGCTCGCCCGCCGGGGGCGAATGTTATTGTGTTTACAGACGGGGCCTGCGAGCCGGAAGGTGATAGCATGCTGTGCTCCATCGGAGGGGTGCTGTATGTTGAGAGCTCCGGCAAGTGGGTCACTCGATACTTTAGTTGCCGTCTTCCCGATTCGCTTGTCAGGTCCTGGAGCGCTTCTGGCAAGAAGCACTTGATAGGACCCGTTGAGTTGTACGCGGTGGCGACAGCAAGAACACTGGCGCGAGTACCTTGATTTCGCCAAAGGCATCTTCTTTATTCACCATGCGGGCGTGCGCGCTGCGTGTGTCAATGGATCGTCCCATGACAGCCTCTGGCGGCTCATCCTTCTGAAGCTTGAAGAAGCAGATGCCAAAGCTATGATCGCTTGGTACGCCCGTGTTCCGAGCCAGAGCAATCCTGCCGACCCGCCTTCGCGAGGGTCCAGCCTTTTTCCAGTGTGGGGCACATGCTCGAGGGATCATCCGAAGTGTTGCATATCCTGCGAGCTCTTGAGTTCGTTAGGTGAGTCGGGAGATTGTTGAACGAGCTCAATCCTCGTGAATGATGCTCGATCGGCAACCTGCCGAGTGCTCGGATGTTTCCCGACTCGGCTGTGCCAACTCAAGTGAAAAAGAGTGTGTCCGATTGCATTCTGCGAAGCTTATGTTGTGTGTACATTGTACATTTGCCTACAAGGTTACAATATATGTTGATTGATTGATTCGAGAATGATTTTATTCACTTTAATACGATTCGTGCGAAAAGTAGCTTTAGCTATAAGCCTACTTTGAAACTTGTTTCGTTTGGCTTTTTAGCTCGAGCTATGTTTCAAATGCGACGTTGCTTTTGAAACTCGCTTTTCGCACAACCTTCTTTTGAACGGTGGGCAAACAACTTGATTTTAACTCGTTGGTTTTTGCCGTGATGTATCTCGACCTTTGCGCCCGATCCCTGAATGATTTTTCATTGCGGCAGTCATTTGTGGATCGAGTTCGCCATCCGGCGAGATTCGAAATTTTTGTCCCACCCAACCCACCCGGGAGATTGTTGAACGAGCTCAATCCTCGTGAATGATGCTCGATCGGCAACCTGCCGAGTGCTCGGATGTTTCCCGATTCGGCTGTGCCAACTCAAGTGAAAAGAGTGTGTCCGATTGCATTCTGCGAAGCTTATGTTATGTGTACATTTGCCTACAAGGTTACAATATATGTTGATTGATGGATTCGAGAATGATTTTATTCACTTTAATACGATTCGTGCGAAAAGTAGCTTTAGCTATAACGACCACAACATCCAGATGCCGTCGAACTTCGTCGACAAGCTCACTTCGAGCAAGATCGAGAGGGAGAGAAACCCAAACGCACCACGTCCTGCAGCATTACATCACATCTCAGCCGATGAGTATCTTCCTCGCGGACATACGTCCATCATGGATACTTCGGTTACACCTGAAGAAAGTGAACGCGTTGCTGGAGCCAAGGCAGCTCCAAAGCACCTGCCCGTGAACGAAGTGAGCGGTACAGAGGATGGAATGCGAATTCCTTCCACGATCAAATGGTAGGAAAGGGCAAGAGCAAAGGAAAGGGGAAGTCCAAGAACCCAGAGGACAACCTCAGACCCTGGGAACGTGATCCTGCTCGCACTCGTCAATGGCTACGGGATAACACGCAAATGCAACGCCGTTCTCATCGTGACCTCAGCAGTTCGCTCGTGATCTTCATTGCGAATGCCCTTTCCTTCGGTGACGCCTGATTCTGTATGCCATTTCGGGGGATCGTCACTGACGTAGATGAGTGTCACGCCACTTCTAATTGGGATGCAAGGCTCTGATTCCATGTTTCAAAGTTGGGGCGGATCAATCCCTAGTGCTTCCAATCGCGCCATCTTCCGGGTGAGTAGTGTCGGAGACACCACTCATGGGGGGTGCGGACGGACTGCGATGCCTAGTCAAGTTCTGCGGTGTCACGATAAGAGCTATGAGTGAGGCCTTGTATAGGTCAAGAGTGGAGGCACGCAACGCGTACTCCATCTCTATGTGTTGGCCTGTGGGCATGCCTCGCATACCACAGAGCTACACCATTATCATCATATGCCGCCAACGCAACTTTGGCTCAAGAATGAGCACAAGCTCTAGAAAGCATTGCCGATAGCTTAAAACAGCTTATCGTCTTCTGTGACCCTTCTGAGGAACAGAGCCATCCCGAGCACAGACGATCCATCGCCTACCGCGAAAGTGGAAAACAAGCGAGCTCTGGATCTGCCTGCCTGGGAGGAGTGCTTGTACGTGGGAGTGAAGGTGATAGTGTATCGAGTCTGTTGAGGGCAACCACACTCGTACTCAATAGCTCGGTGCGGTGAGCGACAAGGAACATCATAAAGATCAAATCTCCACGCATGATTAGTATTACTAGTATTACTAGAACTACTAGTAGTACTAGTTGTACGAGTAGTACTAGTAGTACGAGTAGTAGTTACTTTAGTAGTAGTAGTAGTAGTAGTAGTAGTAGTAGTAGTAGTAGTAGTAGTAGTAGTAGTAGTAGTAGTAGTAGTAGTAGTAGTAGTAATAGTAGTAGTAGTAGTAGTAGTAGTAGTACCACCAATAGTACCAATAGTACTAGTAGTACTAGTAGTACTAGTAGTACTAGTAGTACTAGTAGTACTAGTAGTACTAGTAGTATTAGTCGTACTATAGTAGTACTAGTAGTGCTAGCAGTGCTAGTAGTGCTAGGACTGTGCTAGCAGTACTAGCAGGACATGTAGTACTAGTAGTACTTGTGGAACTTGTAGTTGTAGTAGTAGTAGTAGTAGTAGTAGCAGTAGTAGTAGTAGTAGTAGTAGTAGTAGTAGTAGTAATAGTAGCAACAACAGTAGTACTACTACTACTACTACTACTACTACTACTACCACTAGTATGATTAGTATTACTACTAGTACTACCATAGTACTACTAGTATTGCTAATGCTACGGGTACTACCAGTACTACCCTACTGGTCTTACTTGCCAAGACCACTAGTGCGACAAAGTCCTGTAAGTACTACTCCAACGCACTGCTGCAACTGGTGCCGTTGCTGCTACCGCTACTGCCACGGTCTGCCGCTACTGCTGCTACTGCTCATACGGCTGTTGCTACTGCTACTGCTACGTGCAACCTGAGGCTTTTCAACAAACTGAGGCTTGACAGGATGCATTTGCTTTTGCAAACTGAGGGTTAGCAGGCTGCGCCTCGGCAATGAAGCCGGTAACTACTTGCTATATGGAAAGCCCAAACTGCGAGGCAAGTTGAGAGTCCAAAAGCATAACAAACACGGTGTCTTTGGTTTGACAGAGATGCCTGTGCAAGGGTGAGTGTCGTTGGTTTGACAGAGATGCTTTTCGAAAACATGAGCCATCCGGTACTCGTGCAAGGACATCCTGGGATAGGTACGTGTAGATGGCTTGTAGGATGCTACAGACCACCGGGGGCCTGTTCTCCGTACCTGTTGGGGGATACGGCGTTCATAATTAGTTGGCAACCCCGATTCCGTGTCAAAGGCTTTTCGGCGCACACTGAACAGAACACATGAATGCAAAAAAGAGCAGAACTATCAGAGATCCGGTGATTTGCGAATGTGTTACACTGAGGTCTTGACAACCACTGCCGAGGACCCCACCGGTCATCTGGGAGCTGGGAGACGGTTCTTAAAGCTTTGAACGTGCCGATAAGATAGGGGCGCACCATAAGCGTGGCAGCGTCACCTCACACTATCCACTCTGCAACATCTCCTCTCGGCTGAGGAGATGTTGCAGGCCCAAGTTCCCGACGAAGAGCGAGGGCCTCGGCCAATCTCGGCCCTCTGAAGCCTCGCGCTGTGAACGCTTGGGGAGCTGTCAAGGCTTCTCAGAGGGATCGCCGATCGCCCTTGAGGTGGGATGAGGAGACCATGCTTCGCCGCGAGCTGGCCAAGTTGAGAACTGGCGAGGTCACGTGCCTCTCTCTCTCTCTCTGTTCTCTCTTTTCTCTCTTCTCTCTCTTCTCTCTCTTCTCTCTCTTCTCTCTCTCTCTCTCTCTGTCTCTCTGGCTCTCTGTGTCTCTGCCTCTGTGTCTCTGCCTCTGCCTCTGCGTCTCTGCCTCTGCGTCTCTGCCTCTGCCTCTCTCTCTCTCTCTCTCTCTTCTCCCTCTCTTCTCTCCCTTCTCTCTCTTCTCTCCCTTCTCTCTCTTCTCTCTCTCTTATCTCTCTTCTCTCTCTTGTCTCTCTTCTCTCTCTTCTCTCTCTTCCTTCTCTTCTCTCTCTTCTCTCTCTCTTTTCTCTCTTCTCTCTCGTCTCTCTCTTCCCTCTCTGCTCTCTCTCTTCTCTCCCTTCTCTCTCTTCTCTCGCTTCTCTCTCTTCTCTCTCTTCTCTCTCTTCTCTCTCTTCTCTCTCTTCTCTCTCTTCTCTCTCTTCTCTCTCTTCTCTCTCTTCTCTCTCTTCTCTCTCTTCTCTCTCTTCTCTCTCTTCTCTCTCTTCTCTCTCTTCTCTCTCTTCTCTCTCTTCTCTCTCGTCTCTCTCTTCTCTCTCTTCTCTCTCTTCTCTCTCTCTCTCTCTCTCTCTCTCTCTCTCTCTCTCTCTCTCTCTCTCTCTCTCTCTCTCTCTCTCTGTTGCACAGATGCGGATTTCGTGCCCGCTGACTGTGCGCCTGACTAGCAACTGACGCAAACACTGTTTTGTGGGCAAGTCGCCATAGCAACTCCAGGATGTCATAGCATTCTTCGCGAAGAACGGATCCAACAGTTCGTGCTCCCCGCTTACTTAGATGAATTCCGGTGTCAGAGCGTCAGCATAGCCTGCACTGCGTGATTTAATCGTACTCGGCGTCCAGAGGTTAAAGCATGCCGCAGAGCTGTTGGTGCAGCTGCTTTAGCGACTTGAACACCAGTGGACGTTGACCTGGTGCCAGTGCCAGTGGGGTCTTTAGCTGTGCAGACGACGCTTTCGAAAGACGGTACTTGAGATGCCATGTCACAGTTTCGAACGTTGGCCCGTGCAGGCCTCAGAGAGACATCTCGGATTTTCATGCCAGGGTGAAGTTCGTGTACTGCAAGCGAAGAGAGAATGCCGGACGCTGAGATTATAATTCTATCGGCTGTCCCCAGCACAACATACTTCTGTAGAGATATGCGAATGCTTTGCCGCTTGCCGCCTGCGTTCGCGATCGGCAAGCTTGATGGTGAAGTTTGCAGACAGGTGTTGAGGAATCGCACGAGTATAGCAGCCAGGTGGACGTCACGGAGTTTCGGCCCTATGACCTTGAAGTCATCTCTGAGCTCATGGATGGTGTGCCTTGATTGACCATAGCTCCGGATTGGATGCAATCAGGACAATGGTGAGGGGAGTGGGATGGGCAGGCCTTCAGATCCTGAACAGCAAAGCTTTCAGAGTGCTTCAGAGTTGTGCTCAGCCGGCTGCAGTCCTCCTCTGCAACGACGGCCTCAAAGCTCGGCGAGCACTTTACGCACCTTCGACATGTGAGCTGGGGGGTTTTTCTTCTTCTGATATCGATCGGAGGCTAAGACGCTTCCTTGGGGGTTGACGGTTTTGGGTCATGCGGATGCAGTCTGCGCTGAGAGCCAGAATCGGAGAATTGGGCATTGGACCTCGTCGGGCTCGAGGAAGCACTTCTTGATCCTTGGTGCCAAGGATCTCGGCCACTGGCGTGGTCCACGCCTGGTTCTCGCTTGCTCCGTTCTCTCCAATCACATGATTCGGCCGATTCAGCAGCTCTCTGGGCCTGATCCCTGCGGCCCTGCAGTCCCAGCCCTGTGGATAACTGCAGACTCCGGCAGCTCTGCAACCCCACTAAACCTTCTCAGTCAGGTGTCCCCGGGGCAGCAGAGCGAGCACATGTCTTTGGGAGATTGGACGCGCCCTCGAGACGGGGTCCGTTTTCAGGCCTTGCCACACGAGTGACTTTCCGCTGCGAGGCCGGAGGCCCTCGAAGGCTCAGGACTCCTCCCGTCCCCAACCTGATCACAACCTGTTGCATTGCATACCTGCACAGTGCCTTCTTGGTTCAAATTCAATAACGTGCCACATCCAGCTGCGACGTGACTTGGCCCGCGCTCGCGCTGTGCCGGAGACTGTCAGTAGCCTGCGCTCTAGTAGAC